TTACCCCTCCAGCCATTAAGGGCGATTATTGTTCCTGGTGGCTTACGACCCATCCGTGTCTCCTACACCATTGAAAAGTCAAACAGCTTATGTTTTATTGTCATCCTGGTTCTGCGGTTAGTGTCATCCCGCCTCATAGGCCTCATCACCTTAAGCATTCGCAATTTTTATCGTAGGCTGCTAACAGCACCGCTGACAAGACCTTTAGACGAGGATTCTTCGCTCCCAACCTTGGTCTTGGGCGTCAATATCTGTGGGTTTTTATTTAGGCTGACGTTCCATCGTCCATTATGCAGCAAACTTCCTGCTGTAGTGTGGCTATGCAGACCATTTTAAAGCATCGAAAACTGGTCGATAATACAGCTAAACCTTTAACAGTTGATAATGCACCTTTGAACCTTCGGTCGGCACCCATCTGCCTATTTTAGGTTCGCCACTGGCTTACATTATGGAGACCTACGCGTCCCTCATTAGACCTTGTCAATAAACCAAAGAAGTTCAGCATGTGGTGAGACACCACATCGTCACCGCAGGGCGACCCATGCATGCTGATCAGCGGAGACGTCATCCCGAATAGCTCCGGATAGCGAGAAATGAATTTGAGCACATAATGAATTTGCGATCTGTCCGTCTTGCTTTCGGCCCAAGGACCTCTGAACTCTATACTGTTACCAAGCACTCGACTGATGCTTGGAGATCGTGAGGCGATATCGCACCCTGAACTTAACTACTGTCCCTAATCCATTCCAAGATTCATGACTTCCCCGATATGCCGCCGGAAAAGGCCACTTTTTCAAGACAGATCCCGTAAGAGCATATCGTCAGATACCGGTTGCAGGAGAAAACAGCCCCGAGACCGTCATCACGACGTCATCCAGCCTGTTTTAAATTCTTTTCATACCTTTGGGTTTGCGCAGCGCGGGCCAGTCCTTCCGGCGTTTCGTCGATGAGGTCTTGCTGGATTTTTCATGAACGTTTGGCCCCACTGACGACACATCAGTCGCGAGCTTTTTGGCAGAAGAACAGGCGTCGCTTTTGCGCCAAGCATTCCATCGTTCCTAGCCACATGATTCCCAAATAACTTCGGCAAATGTCCCTTTGAGGTCAGTCCTCTTAAATTCCTGGTTATCACGTCGACCAGCGTCCAGTAACACCAAATCTCAGAGGGGCTGCAAAGCGTCTTCTCCTTTCATGCCTCCGAAATACTTACGCAGCTGCAGCGTTTTGTCGGCCTTGTCAGTTACAAACAACGCTTAATTCCCTACCGTGCGACAAAACCGGCTCCTTTGAGGGATCTTTCAAAGTCGAAGGCAAAACTGATCGTTTTTACTGGCAAATCACTCAGCTTTTCAGGCGGCCGGGAAAGTCCTTTCTCATGCCGCCATGCTTAACCATCTCAGCCCAAACGCCAATAAACAGTTTATATTAACCACCGATGTTTCTTACAGTGTTCCCGGCGCAGTCTTGCACGAACAAGTGAATAACCAGTTGCGGCCACTAGCCTTTCTTCCACAGAAGCTGCAGCCGGCGCAGATTCGTCAGGGCACTTTCTCTCAAGACCTTACAATCATGAATAATAAACTGTTTTATTTAGCACCTCTAGGGGTACTTTCGTTGTAAGCAAATACGTATTTCGAGGGAATGTTGTAGTGAGTAGGCAAACACTATAGAGTGTCCAGTTTGCGCTTATAAAGTAGGCGGTCTGATGTGAAAAACTGTTGGAGAACAGTGAAAAACTCCCTCAAATGATCTGAAAAAGACAAAATGCGTGTGATTTTATTGGTTTTTAGGGAGAAAAAATTGCCATTTATGAGAAGGTTGATATGCGGGTGGGAAAGGACCCTTATGGAGGTGAGAGTATATGAAGATTCAGAACGTTCTTCGTCAACGTAGAATTCCTAAACGGGGTGAGACTGTTTGCTTTGGATATAGTCATAACGTTTTTGGAATTACATCAGAAGCAACCGTCAATGCTGCGAGACAAGAGGAACCCACTGTGAACGGTCGCTGCCCGCATAGAATCCAAGTAAGGAGCGAACATTAAAGTCTGCGAAAATCCTCAAAGCTCGGGAAATGCGACCATGATACCTCTTTACTGGCCGACCAAACTACCAGCGGGGGGCGAAGACAGAGAAATCCTCCGTAATCAGCAACAGGTCGCCTGGGGTGTAAATGAGGAGATGATATTAAATTGCTGCAGGAGAGAACTAATAATAGTGGACTTAGCAGTCAACTGAAAACGGAAGGGTTGTCAAAATCAAGGCGAGGGTTTCCTCTTGAGCAAGCAAAACATGATTTACCATTAAATCCCTGGAGGACACCTCTCAAAGTCCAGGACTTAATTGCTCGGAAATGAACGATCAATAGCGACTTGATGCTTTTTCGGCGTAAGGTGCTTGCGTAATTTCGAGTTAAATACCGCTACTGTACGCGATGACCGAAGTTTAAGCGAAAGATTATTCCAAAGGAAGGCATATTTTAATGCAAAAAGGGGGGGCGTTTAGGTCTAGAGCAAAGCGGTGGCGGAATTACGCGTAACATAATTCCGATATTTCAGAATGAGAATGTTACTGCGCGGAAGGTTAGAGCAGGAAGCAAAAACTAAATGTCCGCCAATTGACATCTCTCAGTATAAGAAATGCCGATTCGGCTTGGTAGAAGAGTTTTCGATTAAAATCTCTCTACACATTTTTGATTTTACTACGGTCACAGGCGTTCATTAAATCAAAGAAAGGAAGGCAGTACTCCAGGACGAGAAGAATAAACATTTGATAAAGTCTTTGCTTTACTTCCGATAGGAAAATATTATGTGGTATGAATGCAAATAGTTGAGCAGCTATTGCAGAGATTCAATCTGCATGTGGTGCTAGAGTAAGCTTATTTGTGTAATTTAAACCTAGGTATTTTATGTTCTGGCATTCTGAGAACGCGTTTTTTTGAGAAACTATGAGACAGGACCAAAAAGGGCCAAAAGCAATGAAATGAAGAAATGCCCCTGTGCCATGTTGAACCCCATTTCCACAAACACAGTAGATCGGAATTACTTTTTAACGCAAACATTTGCCGCGACCTTAGGGTACTAATAAACACATTTAAGCTCATCGGAATAAATGAACGTCGGCGAATTTCTGGTTTCTGTCAAAGTGTCGTTATATAGGAGAAATTGTGGTGAACCCAGAACTGCGCATTGAATACGCCACTCGTGATCAAGTAAGACGCTGAGTAGCTATCACCAAGCATGGCTCTCTGATAGTGGTTGGATGTGTAGGATCTGATAAGGAATGAAAGGCTTGTCCATCTTTATGCCAACGTGGAGGTCATGGTAGACCGCATAATTCCACTCTGGCAGGTGGTGACTACGTACAACGTCCATTAATTGTACGTTAAATCTTGCCTGAGGTCCCTCGAACCTAGGCTTTACTTAGCTGTCAGGCCCAGGAGCCATTTTGACTGGCGGCCTAAGCAAGGTGAGGGTCTTAGGTTGGTGTGTGTCTCCACACCCGGTAATTCTTTTCCCATCCCATCCCCTTTCCCCCCCCTCCCCTCATTTCGAAAGTTTTACGAAGAGGGCATTTAAGAATTTTGGCCAACATTTCATGAGCTCAGTCATGCACTGTTAACCCCTTGTACGTTCCCTGTCGCAGTAAAATTCCCCTCTTCTGTTCTGCGCATATTGCCATGCTACGCTTGAATAGTCGATTGACAAACATCTGCTTTTGGTAGTTCAACATCAGGCCCCTACGGATAAATGTGAGCCGTAGACCGCGTGTATGTGTCTGGGGGGTTGTTATACTCCTCGTTCCAACGTTTCCGCACGGCGAAATCCGAGTGCTGTGGTCATTGGGGCTGAGGGATTGGGGCTGGGTAAGGTGTGAGTGATGTCTGTTAAACACGTGGACAGTGTGTGCTCCGCACACGGCCCACGCGGTAGATGCGCTGAACCAACATGGGAGCGTCAGTGGATTCTGACTGGCGTTATCGGAATGCGCACCATAACAAATGCCAACATTCGGGGTGCAGCGCCAGACCAAGTAGCCGGCCCACGTCGCGCCAGCTGGGATCCCCGCCGCCCCCCAATGTTCTTGTTGGCTAAAATCCTGGTCAAATGTTGTGGACCAAGCGGTTTGATGATACGCCCCGTTGCCTTGCCAGCCACCTGCGCCCTCCCTCAATTCCGGTCTTCTTGACTCTGTCCCAACATTGGGTTTAGGTGGGGGAGAAGCGAGTGTGATAGATGCGGCGCAAGTCACCGTGCCTGCTTCATCTTGCTGTGGTTTACAGGGTGGACATCGTCGGACAAGACGGTCGAACTGTCGTGGGCCAGTGTGCGATGACCATCTGGAGTCGGCTTTAGCCACGGAAAACGGAGCGCTTGAACCAACGTCTTCTGACAACAAAGTGTTGAATTCGCTGGCCAAATAGGCATTCTTCGGCTGTTTCTATCATCTGCTAGCTAAGGCCCTTAGAGCAGTCTGCTGGTGTCGGCTTCTTTGGTGTCGATCTGACGACTCGTGCCAACTAGATGTGCGAGAATAGAACTCAGAATCGACAGATATGTGTTTGCGTGCCCTTGTTAACAGACGCCTCTTTGAACGGCCAACGTCTCCCACCCCACATCAGCTAGTTCAGTTCAGTTCAGTTCAGTTTATTGAGGGAAATGTAGGTCTTCACCTTTGAACTCCCTTTTTGTTTACAAACAACTGCAAAATCTCAAAAACTCGAAAAGGTATCATAAAGGAACAAATAATCGGAAAAGCGTCAGGTCTGTACAGACAAACAAACTGTCTCGAATTTTAGTGGTACGAGCAGTTGTAGAGCTGTCGTTTCGAGTGCAGCGAAATAAATAATATATCCGGTGACAAAATTTGCATATGTGCATGTCAGTAAGCGTAGGCGATGGGTTGGCACAATAACACATTCAATTTAAAATGTTACTGAAATATAGCAAGTAGTATTACAATAACGGAATTTGTCGGGGTTGCAGAGATCGGGGTGGTAATTTAGTGGACACTGCTACACAAATCCAGCTTCCTCTTAAAGACCTTGACGGAAGCAGACATAACGACATCCACAGGCAGGGCATTCCAGGCTTCTAGCACTCTGTTGGAGAAGAAGAACTTTCGTGTGTCCAGGCTGGCCCCTGTCACACGTAGTTTGAATGGATGGCCTCGTAGATTTGTGGTGGTTGCTAACTCGAAGAAGTCCCCCGGTACGAGGCTGCAGTCCTGACCGCGTATGATACGGAAGGCTTGTATCAGGTCACCCCGTAACTGCCTGTAACTTAAGGGAAAAAGATCAAGGTTAGCTAACCGCGTTACATATGGTAGTGAACCCTGTCCTGCCACAAGTTTCGTTGCACGCCTTTGAACCCTTTCAAGGATGCTGAGGTCCTTCGCGGTCCAGGGTCTCCAAGCTTGGATAGCAAATTCTAGTTGCGGACGCACAAAAGTTCGAAAGACTTTAGCGAAGCAGTCTTCATCAAAGGCAGAGAAAGCCCGCTTGACAAGGTAGAGGACTGACATTGCAGACTTGGCTATCTTTGTGCAGTGCAGCGAGGGTTTGAGCGAGGTCGTAATCCATACTCCCAAGTCCTTCTGCGAGTCCACTTCTTGCAGTGGTATACCATTTAGGCAGTAGGCCATATGGTTCGGAGAGCGAGCTCTGCTGACTCGTAGAATATTGCACTTTTTCTCGTTGAACGGCAGAAGCCAGGCCTTTGACCAATGTTGGAGTCGGTTTAGGTTCGCCTGCAGATGCTCTTCGCCATCTGCAGTTCGGATGACGCTCCAGAGCTTAATGTCATCCGCAAACATGACGACGCCACAATCCAGTTCACTCACGCAATCGTTGACGTAAATGATGAACAAAGTAGGACCAAGAACTGAGCCTTGGGGAACACCGCTTTCAACGGCAACCTCCGTCGACTTCTGGCCACCGACATGGACAGTTTGAAAAGGGTCTAATAGGAAGCTTTGAATCCATTTTAAGAGGTTACCCCTAACGCCTGTTCGGCTCAGTTTGTGCAGGAGTCGCTGATGTGGGACACTATCAAATGCCTTTTTAAAGTCGATATAGACTACATGCAGCGCATTGCCTTCATCAACTGACCGAGTCCAACGTTCCAAACAGTTGAGCAATTTAGTCACGCAAGACCTGCCACTACGAAACCCATGTTGTGCATCAGATAATAGATTATGCTGCTCTAGGAAGCGCATCAGCTCTCGCTTGATTATTTTCTCCATGAGTTTGCAGCAGATGGAGGTGAGGCTAATTGGCCTATAATTGTTTGCAGAGGCCTTGCTGCCTCCTTTATGCAGTGGTGTGATCCGCGCAGATTTCCAGTCGGCGAGCAAGCAGCCAGCTTCGAACGAGGCTTGGAAAAGCATGGACAATGGTTTGGCTAGTTCGGCAGCGAGCTCCTTCAGTAACTTAGACGGTATGTCGTCTGGACCTGGTGATTTCGACTCATTTAGCGTCATTAGCTCTTTGCGAACCGTCGCTTCATCAAAAGATACAGACTCAATTTTTGGACCCTCATCGAATTCGTAGTCGGGAGGAGTAAATGGACTTTCACTAGTAAAGATGGATTTGAAAAATTGCGAAAAGTGCTCAGCTTTTTCTCCATCCTCACTAATCTCTACGTCTCCGCTTGTCTTCAGGAGGGGGATTGGATCTCTGCTTCGTGTGCTGCTTCTTATGTAGCTGTAGAATAATTTTGGATTTTCCATAGCACGATTCAATAGGTCTTTTTCAAAATTTTGCCGTGTCCTGAGGGTCAGCCGCTTGACTAAGTTCCTCTGTATTTTGTAGGCGTTTATGGATACAGGAGTCCAATCAGTAAGAGATTTCTGCCACAATCTCCGTTTTTTATTTATTTCCTTTTTTAACGCCTGGGTCAGCCACCGGGGTCGTTTGTTTAGCCCCTTCCGTGAAAGCGGGCAGTGGTTTGTCAGGAGAACATGCAATAATCCACTGAACCATTTCCAATCCTCCTCTATATTTCCAGAAAACGCTGATTCCCAGTCCGTATTGTTGATTTCGGCCTTCATTTGATCGAAGTCCCCACGCCAAATATTTCTTCTCATTTTGGTGGGCTGTTCGGGCACGGAAAAGATTGAATAGTCCCATTGAAATACAACGTGATCGCTTCGACCTAACGGAGGCAGACATTGTACCTCATCTATGCCGTCCATCGATTTCGTGAGCACCAGGTCCAATCAGTTTGACTGCTGCCCCTCACGGGCCCTCGTGGGAAATGGGACGTGCTGTGTGAGAAATGACCTGAGTGCCATGTCCAAGAAGCGTCGGTCGAAAGCTAGTTCTGGGCCGCGCGCATATAATGAACTCCAATCAATGAGCGGTGCATTGAAGTCGCCCATGATAAGGACGTCAGGCCGGAGAACAAATCGTCCTAGCTCCTCTAAGAGACGAGCGTCAGCCTCGGGGTCACTCCTTGGTGGTAGATAGACGGTCAGAACTTCAAGGCTATGTGATCCTGGTACCCTTATAGTGAGCCAGATAGTCTCGGCGCTGCATGCAAACTGTTCTGTTTTTTCTGGCACAAGCAGGCCTTGTTTTACGTACGTGACGACTCCTCCTCCCTGACGCTCTCTCCTGTCTCTTCGAAACAACTGAAATCCTGGTAGCATTAATTCGCGGTCATCCACGTTTTCAGACAGCCAGGTTTCTGTCAAAGAGACAATGTCAGGGGAAAGGTCACAGATGTGGATCTTCAGTTCGTCTAATTTAGGCAATATACTCTGCACGTTGGTGTAAAAAAGGTTAGTTTCAGAGTTTTGGGGCGTTTGATTATAATGCCGCTTGTGATCCCATTTAAGGAAGCTTGTGAATGAATAAATCGACATCGATATCTGTAGTCTGTCTCTGCTTCCCAAGCATAGGAGGGAAGATTTTGTGAAGAATACGCGTACGTTCACGGCGGGGAAAGCGCTCCTGGTAGCTGTCTTGAGACGTCGTCTTACTAATTCGCAAGCTTCGTCCCCCACAAAATGCAGTCGGACTAATCTCTAAGCTTTTTACAGCTCATGCGCTCATCCTGCTTATAGTTGTATTGGCCTGATGCTGAACAGCCAATAGATTTCTGGCTGTCGACCCTACGCCTAGACCCACTCATCTATACTTTCTTTCGGTTGGAGGCAGGGGGTAGCGACTCTTTCAAACCACATCTATGAGCTTCTACAGTTTCTCACAAGTATTGCACAGAAATTCCTAAATATCTGTCAGCTTCAGCCGTCATCTTGGAGCGCCTAATCGACAGCGAACATGGGATAAATATCAAAGAAGAAGGTGGGCTCACCGGAACAGGTTTATTAGGATGCTGACGTTTCGAAGAGCTTTGTCGGCTCTCCATTGTCAAAGCGTAAAATGCACTCAATCCACCAGAGATCCCAAGTGGCGTGTCACGTTGGACGGCCTCGTGCTGGTCGATTTTTTTCTCTCTCTCCTCTCGCTGCCGCGGCCTATCAGGGGATGGTTGACTGGTGTTTTGTCTGCATGCATTGTGAGTCACCACTCCGCCAGTGTCGGGTGGTCGGTCTGGCGGTTCTTCTTCTTCTTCACCGAGTAACCTCGCCGTCGGGCTGTCTCCGTATGGCCTCCTTAAGCCCGGTGTGGTTGTTTGGTCTTTGTAGGCTGCAGGAAGGCCCAGATGCCTGTTTATGGAGTGGGCACCGGAGAACCACGCCTCAAGAGTTAGCCGTTCTGCTTTTGTGTTGCCCCGGCCTAAGATGGTAGCTCGCTGGCATAAGATGGTAGCTCGCTGGGATCTCTGGTGGATTGAGTGCATTTTACGCTTTGACAATGGAGAGCCGACCAAGCTCTTCGAAACGTCAGCATCCTAATAAACCTGTTCCGGTGAGCCCACCTTCTTCTTCTTCTTCTTCTTCTTCTTCTTCAAATAATCAACCCGGATCTCTCAACTTTGCCAATCTGAATAAATATCAAAAGAATCTGTCAAATTATTCCTTCGGGGGCCGAGTAAACTCACGAGATGGCTGCGTCAATGAATCCCAACACCAGCGGAGGCAACGGCCAATCGAGTCGAAGGTCCTGTCCACTGCACGTTCAGTAGGTGGGCTTACTCATGAAATGTCAACCGAAATCCCAAAATGTGTTTTCGTTTCGAAAAGGCTAAGTAAGTAGGGTTGTAAAACTAGTCAGCCTGCAACATTATTCTATCATATTTCAGTTACCTCAGGATGCCTGGCTTTCGAACGAATTTCCTTCGGCTGCAGGCAAAAACTACACTGTGTAAAAATGGCTACTTGAGTAGCATGAATTTTTCTCATTGATTTTCCATGCCCCTGAAAATCCAATCATATTTCATGGGAAACACCCATAAAAAATATTTATTATTTTGCTCATTCGGTAGAACATTACGTCTTCTTTCAATCTTATATTCAAAGGAGGAACATAATTCGGTTTTCAAAAACTTTTCCCATTCACGAATAATATTGAACCCGCTCTACCGTTAAACTTGGATTCAGGGTTTCCAGGCTACAAGCCGTATATTTTCCGCGTACGGAAAATCACGCATTTCTCTACAGTATTAAGAATAGACCGTATAGGGTTCGAAAAATTAAGCGTTGGATCTGATCCATATTGCTTACTTTACAAACCACATTGGTAAATGAAGAGACATGACGATATATGAACGGCCCTTTCACGAATTATGTCCCTCATTTGAGTATAAGATTAAAAGAAAACGTAATTCTCTACCAAATGACTAACAGAATTAACATTTTTATGCGTGTTTTCCATGAAATATAATTGGAATTTTAGGGACACTGAAACTAAGGAGAAAATTCGTGCTACTCAAGCAGTCATTTTTACACAGTGTTGTTTTCGCATGCAGCCAGAAGGAAATTCCCTTAAAAGCCTCGAATTATAGAAGTATGGTTCAGGCTGATTAGTTTTACAACCCTACTTAGTTAGTCTTTTCGAAACAAAAACGCATTTCAGAATTTCAGTTGGCATTTCATAAGTTAGCCCACCTACTGTAGAAGGAATTCGGCCAGACTCTGCGAATACCATGGCCCACTGCGTGTTCATGTCTTACCTTCGTGCGTTCATTACGGACGATTTATTGTCCTCAACTGCGTCGCTTTCTACACTCGCCAGACTTATTCCCGAACCGATGAACTCGTTCGTCAAGTGTCCTTTCAGCTGCAAACATTATTCGCCACCTTCCTAAGCCAATCAAATGCCCAGTTGAATCCCTTTCAGATTAAAATCTAAATTCTTTGAACAACGTAGATTTGCAATGTTTCCAAATTGAACAACTCATGCAAGTGTATCGGAGTGATAATTAACTACCGAGAACGATATCTCGCCAACTTGGCTTGTATGAAATCGATTATCCCAAGATATTTCAATTCCATCATGACGCCGGCTTTGGAATGAGCTTCTTTACGGCTCGGTAAAAATGGCTATTTAAGCTGTATTAATTTTTACATTAACTTGGAAGGCTCTACAAATACCAACATAATTTGTGCGAAACATGAACAAAAATATTTCCTTGTATGAATTTTTGGCAACTTGCGAGTTCTCCAAACGTTTGCTTGAAGGGGTATCTTGTGGCTTTGAGTATTATGCAATTACAGCTTTACGGCATTTAAGTGCTCTTTCATACAGCATCGTTTCTGCCCGCTTTATTAGTTATGCTTATGGCGTACACAAGATGGTCCACACTCAATACACTATTTGATGAGCCCTTCATGGCCTACTCCACGCGAAAGCATACGGCATGGAGTTCCGAAATCCTAAAAACGGTTGTCTAATGACGGTCAGTAAGCCAGAAGCGACTGTCTAAACCCTCCCTATCATTGTAAGGACTTTTTCCAGCATGTATATGTATATACACAGAGGGCGATTGATAAAGGCAAAGGAGACTGGAATGGCCATTTCTGGCCTATTACCTTTCACTAGCCAGTCATACCCAACCCCAGGTTCTGCAACCCCTGAGGCCCGAAGTGGCGTCCTGTTGCCCAGAATTCTAACCATCTAACCTATAAACATGGGTTCTTGTCGCTTTTGAATTTCCTCAGAAATTATCTACGAGCAGATCAGTTTACTCAAGGTCTATAGGCTCAGCCACAGCAGGTAACCGCGGCAAAACATCGGCGAAACACGCGTGTATGAGCTTTCGGCTAGTACATGTGCTGTTAGTATGGTATCACCGTACCCTAAGCCATGGGTTCGTTGGCCTCTCACCCGTGACCAGGAGCCCAGACCTTTGAGCGTAAAATCCAACTCCCCATTATTGAATCCTGTCCCTTCTGTCCTCTCAATTGCGGTCGAGGGCATTCCCTGTCGTCGAAGTGCGATCATCGAGCAGTCTTTAGGACGTGCTCGTTCCATTATGCCTATATTACTGGTCGCTATAGAAGTGCCTGTTCCTAGACACAACAGAACGAGCGGGTCCTCAATCCAATCGGTAAACACCTTCTTCATGCATGTATAGACATATTTATATCAGACGCCAAGTCCAAACAGTTTCCGCCTTTCTCTGTGTCGTATAAATCAACTCTGAGTAATCCCTTATCACTTTAGCTTTAATCTTATTTTACAAGCACTCTTCGCGTTTCCTAACTCTACGGCCATAGTTGAAACTATTTGACTCATTGGTTCAGACGGCAGGGTAAAAAAAAACAATTGTTTTTCACTGCCCTCCTAAATATACAAAAAAAACTCGGCGACCCTAGGGATGTTAAAATTTGCAACAGAAACGTCAGGTCTTAAGAACTAAAGTGAACTACTTCGGAACTCCCACCGAGAACAGTAGCCAACTACCTCAAGCTTAACTCTGTCGACCACCAAAATTATCAACCAAAGATTAAATGAAGAATGAAACATGGGCAAAAACATTGGATAAGCTCTGAGGTAAAATTCAAAAACCGCAATCAAACCCTCTGAACGTATATGTACATACAGGCACATAGTAACAGGTAAGGAATAGTAACAAATAAAATTCTATGGTATGCGAACTGTGGTAAGAAAGGTGATAATAAAACTCGGGGTGTGAGTGAGTGAGGTGACGTTGAACCCAACTTGCAAGTAGGCGCTGTCTATCTTCCTGGGAGGATGTCTTCAATTATGCCACGCATTCTCTCTCCCCCTTTCTCTCAAAGCACGCTTATGGAAGACTCTGAGTTATCCAACTTGATACAGTCTCGCAGTTCACAACCTGTCCTGTGCCGTAAAAGACTGGCCTCGTTAAGGAAGGTCTTTCCGCAAAGTTGGCAGGCAAGAGGCTTCACTCCGTGAGCTTTCTGTTGGTGTTTTTTTAAGGACGTGGAGTAGGCGAAACGATGGTGGCAGATATCGCAGAGGTAGGGTTGCTCTCGAGTGTGGATTCGCAGGTGACGACTAAAGTTGCTCTGTTGAATAAATTCCTTGCCGCAGGTTTCGCATCTAACATCAAGGCATCAAAGATAAACACCGTGAGGGGGGGGGCGTGTAAAAACTGCCAACATAAATGACGCCCAATCTTTGCAATATTCGCCGCACAGAACTTGCTACTAAGGTTTTACACAGTAGAAAGGCAAGTCATGATCTCGAAAGTTTCTCATATGTCCAAAACTCGTGGGACTGTTTCAATGTCTGACAGCTTCTTCATTTTTACTTTTAATTGGACATCGCAAACGATTTACACAGGAAACGTATGTTTACATTTACATTACGTGTAAAAAGCTTAAACGCATGAATGGCCTCCATTTTCAAAAAGGAACAGAAGAGGTCTTTAACGTTTTGAAACTCATTTACCTCTTGGAGATGAACCATGCACACCGATCGTTCGTACAGAACTCACTCGTTCCGTTGTGCCTTACGGGCTCCTCTCTCTCTCGAGCCCAACCAGCAGCCACACAGCGGCGCATGATATAGGCAGTATGGTATTACAGACAAAGACAAGGGGTACTGGAATGGCCATTTCTGGCTTATTAGCCATCATCAGTCAGTCACATCCAACCCTGAAATGTGGAATAGCTGGGGATCGAACTCGCGACCTGTGAGTTAGAAGTCCGACGCCTCTAACCACTGAGCCACGGGATCGTTGTCGTACCGGTTGCGGTCGGGAATGTAAAATGGTAGAGGGGCGCTCACCGATCGTTTCTACGGGACTCACTCGTACCGTTGTGCCTTACGAGCTCTCTGTCGAGCCAAATCAGGAGCCGCACAGCGGCTCATAATATGGGCAGAATGTTATTACCGGCAAAGACAAGGGGGAAACTGGAATGGCCATTTCAGGATGGGTGGAGGGGGAAGTGGGGAGTACTTACTGAAATTGCATTTCCTTCGTGTGTATCTTCCTATGCGTCTGGTAGTTGCTTGCATTGCCAAACACCTTGCCGCAGAAGTCGCACTTGTAGGGCTTCTCTCCGGTATGGATGCGGATGTGGGTGTAGAATCCGCTAACGTGTCGAAACGACTTGTCGCAGACCTGGAGCAACGACAGCGACGATAAGGGAAGATGTGTGAGGACGTGTACACGCGCTCATACAAGCCTCCTCAAAAGGGTTAGCATCAGTTGCTTGAGTAGACACAATAAAATCACTGAAAGGCGCCGGTTATTAACAGGAAATCTGCCTCGCACGGCCGATGAGATAAGCTAAGACTTTGGCCAGATAGCAAGAGTTAAGAGTCCCTCCAGTGCTCTGAATAAGCGTTTCTGATACACGACAGGTTTAGTTTTGTGGTAGATTATACTTCGTATGATATAAGTAGGATGGCTGAAGACGGCTAATAAGCCAGAAATGACCATTCCAATCTCCCTTCTCTTTGTCGGTAATATCATTCTGTCTATATCATGCGCCGCTGTGCAGCTGCTGGTTGGGCTCGAGAGAGAGTCTGTAAGGCACAACGGGACGAGCGAGTTCCGTAAAAAAGGTCGGTGAGCCACCCTCCCCCATGCCAAATGTATACGGCAAGGAGTTTCGAAACCCTAAAAACGACTGGCTGAGGACAACCAAAAGCCGGAAGCAGTGGTAAGAAAGTTTAGCAAATACGCATAAAACTACCGATAAAGGCAAGGGAGACTGGAACGGCCACTTCTGGCGTATTAGCCGTCACTTGCCAGCCATACCCAACCCCACCTTCTGCAACCCCCCCCCCGGGGCTCAGACTGGCGTCCTGTTGCCCAGATTCCCAACCCCCTACCAATAACCACGGGTTTGTTAGCCTTTCGCTCACAACCTGGGGCCCAGGAACTAAGAGTTCTCCCATGCTGCGAAGAAACCTTTCTGATGCAAGACGGGTTTGGTTTTGTCTGGATTTAGAAGGCACTCAACAGTTACTCACTGGCAGCGTATATTCTGTGTGATGATGTTCCCATTGACTAGAAGGTACCAACGGAGAGGAGTAGACGAGATTTCTGCATCCAAAAGATCGCTTACAGTAAGGTAGTAGGGGGCCAGATCGCCTCCGCGAAAAACCAGTCTCAGTCAAACTTTACGTGCTTAAGCAAAAGAGCGGTTTCTTAGGTTGTCTCCCTGAAGTACACTTTTCGTGGCCCCTTTGAATTTTATTCATCATTCTTATTCTATGTTTATTGTCGATAACTTAGTCAGTTTCGTGTTCGCATTTGTTCTGTTTGAGTTATCTCAGACAGAACTAAACCGGACAGTTGACCTTTAAACGATCATTCCATACCGATCGAATAGAGACCTACTTCGATTTCCCATGGCAGTGTTCAGAAGTATAATTATTCAGTTACTTAGAGGATTCATTGAACCGACTTTGCTAAAAGAGTACATTTAAATAGTAGCCCAAGTATTTGTCTAGAGTAAAATCTATTACCTTACTTTGACTCAATTGTGAAAATGTCGGTGCCTCGGTGAGATTTAAACCCACGACAGCAAGAGGAGACTTTATCAAAGCCAACGCGCTAGCCACCTGAGCTACGAGGCCCCACCTAGTGAATTATTTGAAAACTGTCATAACGCCTATGAAAAATCTATTAAGCTAGATTTAGCATATTATAGTAGAAGTAGTGAGTGAAGAGATCAGCCATGAAGAAGGAGAATTGATCGCTGGGACAGAAGCTTTATTAGCCTGATGTTTCGGATTCCTGCTCGAACCCATCATCAGAGACGAAAGCATATAGCTGATGGGTTCCAGCAGGAATGCGAAACGTCAGGCTAATAAAGCTCTTGTCCCAGCGATAGTGTCTCCTTCTTCAAAACTACTCTCTGGGACTCCTCTTTTCGCCTCTATTGGCGAAGAAACCAGCTCTTAAATAGAGCAGACTCGAATATGTAAACTTACAATAATTATGAAGATATTACATGCACATATATCCGGGTAGATTTGCATCAACAAGGCAGCCAAAAGCATATTTTTGTGAGCCGACCTTTGGATGTTTTATATTCTGGGGGACGCAATGAATCATATCAGCACTCCTATCGTCGTAAATCTCTTTGGACTGATTAAAATACTAGCAAAATTTGCTAGTTAGTGTCCTCTGTCCAGGAAGGAATGGATAGAGAAGACTTTGACGTACACACTATTACGTGAATGGAAAAAGTTGCTCACCTCACAATGGAAGGGCTTCTCCCCATTGTGGATACGCATGTGGTTTCGAAGGTCGGTCTTATTGGTAAACCGGTTGTCGCACTCCTTACAGGCAAACTGTTTCTCTGAGTGAACTTTGATGTGCGACAGGAGATAGAGCTCTGAGGTGAAGTCAGCAGCACACAGACCGCAGGCGAATTGTCTCGGCCCGTGAACACGCTTCTTGTGGTCGGCGAGAGCCACTGAATTTCTGCGAACACACCACATACACGGGGTTATTGGGGCAAAAAAAACTATTGAGGTTGTCAGTAATCCCTTAGGGGACGAGTAGGGTCTGCTTCAAAATGGAGAAAACTCGTAGATCAGGCAAAACGCCCGTCAAACATCTCCCGAGAGGCCGAGGCAGCGAGAGGAGAGGAAAATCGATTAGCTTGAGGCCGAACAACGTGACATGCCACTTGGGATTTCTGGTCGATTAAGTGCATTTTACGCTTTGACAGTTGGGATGTGACTAAGCTCTTCGAAACGTCAGCATTTAAATAAACCTGGTCCGGAGAGCCCATCTTCTTCAAATCATCAACCCTGATATCTCAACTTTGCCAATCTGAACAGGAATGTCTGCCTTCTTTCAATTACTGCAATTTAGAAATGTGACTTGAAGCAGTATTTTCTCGGAATGAATTTAAAGCAAGCAAGGACAGCAGAATTTAATGGCACCAGAAAATTTCGCGACGGCTTCTCAACTGCAGCCTGTCGTTCCATAAAACGGATAACAAGTGAGAACAATAGAGAGTTTTGAACTTCGACAGAGAAAATCAATGTAAAACAACAAGATCATCGTATACTGCACGTAGACTAATCAATAAAATGCTAACTTCAAAACGCAACAAAGAAAGGAAAATGGGGAAGTCAACACGCCGAGGGATTTCGTAAATCAAAATGGCTGAGATCTACCAGGGCAAGCTGAGGTTCACCACGTGGTCTATCTGTTTACATAGGTCGGGTTTCTTCCGCCGTATATAGGCTGCCTCCAGGTAGCGCAATAAACGAGTAGTTCGTGATCGAACTAACACTCGAAAAGACTTTTTCGGGTTAACCGAATGGCCACTATCAAGGAGATGTTTTGTAATAGAAGACCGTGGAGTCTTATTCTCCTACTTTAGAAGCCATTTAGGCAGGTGTTCAACTGCTCTGGCTGCCAGTTGCGTTTGCGTTCGCCCAATGTACTTGCATCCACAAGTGCATGTAAATTCGTAAACACAATTTGACGTGGCGTGCAATGGCAAGGCATCCTTCGCCCGTGGAACTTCGATAGCCTTGGTAAGACTGCAGAAGATAAGTTCAGCTGAGTTGTAAGTTCTTTCAATAGCATGTCCACTTCCCGATTTTCATTTCTCTGTTGCATTTTGAAGTTATCACTTTATTGATTAGTCTACGCGCAGTATACGTTGACCTTGCTGTTTTATATTGATTTTCTCTGTCGAAATTCAAACCTCTGTACTATTCTCGCTTGTTATTTGTGTTATGCAACGACAGGCTGCAGTTGAGAAGCCGTCGCGAAATTTTCTGGTGCCATTAAATTCTGCTGTCTTTGCTTGCTTTAAATTAAGAAATGGTTGATTTTTTAACTTCCTTAGAAAGGAAATGCTGGCGGACCCAATAACGAGCCGAACGCCTCGTAGCTGTGTCATACAGCGGCAGAAAATCGGCGAAACACGCGTGTATGGGCCTTTGGCTAGTACCTGTTCTGTTAGTACGGTATCCGTCTACCCTAAAGTATACTACTATCTGCCTGTCGGCAGTTAATGAATATCACGCGGTTACCCACTGCGGCTGATTGACCTCGGCCCAAATATTCATATATGAAACTTTTTGTCTGAGCCTATAGACCTTAAATATACTGATCTACTCCAAGTTCACAGTTAATTTCTAAGAAAAACTAATAATCAGCAATAAGTAGTATACCGTCGAGGTCTCAAGTGTAAGCGCAATGTGGACATTGGGAGTAAAGAAAGCTGAAGGACGATGCCGAAATCGTTAGTGGGAAAGTAGGCGGAGTATGGGTTAGTTGTAGGGTTTTGGGTCAGTGTCAGGCTTAGAAGTGACTTTAGAGTTAGGGCTTCTGTTAAGTTTAGGGGCTCTGGTTAGAGTTAAGGTTGGGTTTGCGGTTAGGGTTTGGAGTACGGTTTATTTTTTTGTTCAGTGTTAGGGTTGGGGTTAGATTTAGTGTCAAGGTTCCGGTTAAGGCTAGGGTTTGGGTTAGAGTTACGGTTAGGCTTAGGTTTAAGGTTTGTGTTAGTTCTAGAGCAAGGCTTACTCTCGTGTTTAGGGCTAGCGTTAGGTTTATAATTTAGATTTACTTTTGAGGTTACGGTTAGAGTAGCCTTTATGTTTAGGGTATTTCTGCCCTGCGTGTCTTGTCAGCCAGGTCTTTTCGGGGATTCTAGGCTTCCTTCATTCTCGCGGCAGATTTTTCATACATCAGGTTGCCTTTTCATTTCAGCCTCGGCTAATTACCACTAACGATTTCAGCATCCCCCTTCAGACTACCTTAATTTTAATGCACATGTCGCGCTTACTCTTGGGACCAGGAGAGCGTAACCGACCCGTGCCCCCTAATCGATCTAGAGAGAAGGTAGGGGGTTCCCTGTCTCACAGACATCATGCTCGATTAGGTTTGTACGGTGACCACTGACAGTTCCCTTTGTGGACGTCTGATTGTCGGCGGGGCCTCCGCCTGTCGTACTTCTAGGCACTTTGTCACGTCTTCGGACGGTCAGCGCTCCACCTGTCGTACATTCCCGTGCGGTACGATAAATCGATCGATGCAGACGAAAAGGTCCGTACCTGACCACAAACAAGAGGGGCAGTCAGGACTTGAGCCTGTAGCGATGTAGACCTGCGCTGCGTCTACCTCCCGCCTTTTTTCCACATCCACAGCCTCCTGTAGCAAGGCAAGGCTTCCTTCATTCTCGCGACAAAGCCACCATACATCAGGCTGCACTTTTCCGCTTTAACTTCGGTTATTTTACCACTAACGATTTCAGCATCCTTCTTCAACTAACTACTTTTCTTTCAATGCCTACATTGCGCCTACGTTTACACAAATAGAGCGTAACCGATCCTTGCCCAAGGTAGGAAGAGCAAGGCTACAGCCACCCGTCGTATCCTTCGAGATTTGTTGAAACGAGAGAGAGAGAGAGAGAGAGAGGTAGACCAACGTTACCAAACATGGTGGGCAGGAAACCATCCAGGAGGGAGATGTGGACCGCATCCACAGTAAGGTCTGGCAATAAGAGTCCTCTGTCCAACATAACCCATAACAGCTTGACTGACTTGATGTTTAGGATGGATGATAATATTAATCTCAGATGGCCACAGGACTGCCAAGATAGGCGGATCAACAAAACTTCTAACGCCTGTCCGAGATTGCCAAGATCCCATTAAATTTGTCCAAAAGGTTCAGTTCCTCAAATGAAAGCAACGTTTCTGAGAGGAACACTGAAGCTTTAGTCGAACTCCAAGTGTCATCATGATCCTAGCAGAAGCAATCTGTCGGTTCGCTGTCGAGTTTCGTAAGGGTCAGTGTGAACATTCCAGGGTTTATAACACCCAAGAAGATCCCGAATGCTCATTAAAATGGACGATTGCGACTTCAGGACGGAGGCTCCTATATCTCACTGTGGCCATTTTGGGTTTCTTGTGAATAATGTGTTAAAGATATGTTTTTATGATGCTTGTGCAACGGCCCTTCTAAACCGGTCGTCTGTCCCAAGTAGCAGAATAAGCAGTTTTTTGTATCGAGCTGGCCTATGAATTGGCAAGAACGGCGCATAAGAGGCAGCGCGACTCCATTTCCTGTGGCAGATAGGACCGTACGTATGTCTAACAAATCCTGCTTCTAGCACACCTCCCCCTGGTTTCTCGCTACTCCACTCTGCAATCTTGATGCGATGTTTACAGTAAACGCCAAATACATTAACACAGGCAGAACATTCTCGAATGAGTCTCACATTCGGCAAGTAGTAGCAGTAGCAGTAGCAGTAGCAGTAGCAGTAGCAGTAGCAGTAGCAGCAGTAGTAGTAGTAGTAGTAGTAGTAGTAGTAGTAGTAGGGAGGAGGAGGAGGAGGGGGGAAGAAATAGACGAAGAAAAAGATAATAACATAGTAATTCTGATTTGCATTCAAGTCCTGGAGGAGTTCCGAGTCATGGATGAAGGCCATGAACGAAGCCACTGAACTTTATGAAGATTTCGAAAAAGAGGATGCACCTACTCCTATTTTTTGTCTCTAGTAAAAATAAAATCGAAGTCACCGGTCCTTAACCTACCATCAACAATAACGTTATGAAGAAGTAAATATCTCAGGCACATTTCTCACCGGAACACCTTTGAACATTCCTCACAGTTGACAACAGTCTTCGTGTGTTCGGCTAGAATATGGCGCTGGAGTCCTATATTAGAGTGAAACTTGAGGGGACAGGCGCGACACTCGTAGCGCTGTTGTGCAGAACAGGACGGTGCATCACAGGGCAACTCCCCAGTATGCGACAAACCACATGCTGCAGCAACCGGATCTGCGGCGTCGATCTCCATCTCCTCATCCGCTATCTCTCCCCTCGCACTCGGTTGGAGGTCGTTGAGAAATGGCGTCGGAATCTCTGCCGCTGCGCAGGCTCCAACCCCTCCGAACTGTTCCACAGAGCGCCGCCCCACCGCTTCCTCGGCCTTGTCAACCGCTTCTTTCCGCAGTCGGGGCAGTACGTCCGCGCCCTCCACGGTGTCACAGCTGCCGACAAAGGGAGCAAGGATTGAGGCCATGGCTGACAGCGTCTTGCGGTTTGCCCGTCTGTGGGTCGGTGGGAGGGATGACGCATTAGAACAGCAGTCGGTTTTTGAGCCAATGTAAGCTTTGAAAGGTGGCCAGCGCTCGCTGTAGACAGACCGATCGATATTTTGGTTTTTATGTGTGCCCCTAGGCGGAAATGGTCCGTTACTAAGGTGGTCGTGAATGCTAGTCGTTCTGACGGACGAAGCGGGCTAAGGCGGCGGGGGTAATGGAAACTTGGGGGCGTTAAAAAGTAGAGCCTCTCCTATAGGGCTAGTACGCACTGCAACCTGATTGATTGCGCTTAAGCCGACAACCCATTTGCAAATCCCACTTGGAGATTGGTTGGGATTTAGATCGACCACTAATATTTTGATTGAAAGTAAATCCAAAGTTCTCTCGAGCCTCAGATTCCAGGGGCCATCACAATCCCTTAGCAAAATGTCATTCAAAGTTAGCTCGTTAGCAAACAATTGGACACTAATTCCGCGTGTGGAAATCGCTCTAGAACCAGGTTCGCTCTGGTCGGAAAGTACACTACCTACGAGAGCTCCAAAGAGAGGTGGAGTTAAATTGTTTAAATATACCAGATTTGCTATGTCGCTAATATCATTTTGCGTATATCATGCGCCGCTGTGCGGCTGCTGGTTGGGCTCGAGGGAGAGTCCATAAGGCACAACGGAACGAGTGAGTTCCGTAAGAACGATCGGTGAGCGCCTCCTACCACCAAACCCCCCCACCCCTTGTCTTTGCCGGTAATACCATTCTGCATATAGGTAGATATGTGAATTTAAAAAAATTTGATTAGGAAGATGGAATTATTTGGGATGCAGTAAACTTTATAGCGTAAATTTTCGAGATAGGTTCCCCAGCTGTCTTCAGACTATGGGTGTGAAAATACAATTAACTTCTAAACTGAGTCTGACAAAGGATTCTATGATTGGTTAAAGTCTTTGCCAATACGTGTTAATTGCAATTTGTTATATCGTAGGGATTGGTTGGGCTAGTTTGAACTTGTTCTTAGCGATTTTGTATGTGGCATCTAGATCGACATGGCGGTTGATGCATGCCTCATCTGAGTGCACTGTCTCCAGGAATTCGCGGCCCTGCCTATTTGACAGGCGCCAATAATGCGAGTGTTCTTCCATGCAAACATGTGCCCAGTGTTCAGTGTGTGAATGGCCACCTGAGATAGATGATCGCGTCTCTTCACCGCCAATTAATGTTCATGTATACGGGGTGAGACAGATTTCCCAGTTTGGCCACAGTAGACGGCATCAGAGCTGGAACATGGGAGTTGTAGGCAACGCCTTTTCTTTCACGGTAGCCAACCCTGTTCTGAGGGTGTATAAGCTGTGTGAGTAAGGTAGTTGCCGGCTGGTGTACTACGTGTATCGGGTGTTTTTTTAGTTGTCTTTCGACTACATTAGACGTATTTTTCACGTACGGGAAAGTTCGCCAGGTGGTTAGTTTCGGTGCTCGGGAGGCCGTAGCTTTGGAAATACCTTTTCCCTTGAATTGCTGGTGCCTCATGCACTGACGTATAAAGTCATGCGGCGACCCATTTTGGGAGGAGAGTTTGTTAAGGTATTTCATTTCTGCTTGCTAACTTAGCTCATCATACCAGTGCGTTTTGGCTCAATTCAGAAAGCTGTAGACTGTACTCCGTTGGTGAGAGACAGGGTGGTTACACTCAAAATGTAGGATGACCTCTAAATATGCCTCTTTACAGAAAAAATTGATGTGTGAAGTGATCCATCGGTTTTTTGACTTCATCCGGGAATGAGAGTCGTACATCAACCTCTGTTCCGAAGGTAAACTTAATTCCGGGAAATATAGAGTTGACATTAGTAAAAGGCAGATTTATCGGATTTTTCTTGACGATGACAAAAGTGTCATCTACATATCGCAACCAGTTTTGGGCTACCTGTGGGAAAGCTATGGTTTCTGATTTCTGCATTACGGCCGTTGCCAGAAAACTGGACATGCGTGAACCCATGGGAGCGCCTTTTAATTGTCGGCGCCTCCCTTGTCTTTGTCGGCTCCATCTCATCTATGTCTACTATTAGTCGCTGTGCGACTGCCTGCGAGGGTTCTAATATGAGCCCCAAGGCACAACGGAACGAGCATGTTCCGTAACCTGATCGGCGAGCGCCCACTGTCATAATTAATATTCCCGATCACAACCGACAGGACTACGGGCCCGTGGCTCAATGGTAGAGCGTCAAACTCCATGACTAAAGATCCCGGGTTCGAATCTCAAGTGATCCACACTTGGGGTTGAGTATGACTGGCTGATGACGGCTAATAAGCCAGAAATGGCCATTCCGGTCTCCCTTGTCTTTGTCGGCCCCATCTCATATGTATATATATATATATATATATATATATATATACATACACGTCAGTGGTCTGTCTGTCTTATCACACCAACTGGTCTACTGTGACAGCCTAACTTTCTCCCTTGTTTCATTTCGTCTGACGGCGGGTTGGTGTCACTAGCTCGAAAATTCACGAGTACAGCTCGGCTTTTCCGAAAAACCTCTTCTATTTTTCATTATATCAACTCGGAATGCATACCACCCTTTACCTGCATATATATATATAAAAAGTCATGTCCCGGAGATTTAACTCCAAGTCCTGCACTGATTAATTTCTGAAATTATTCACCTGATTATTCTCTGGAGTTCATATACCAGAAACCGCTAGAGAACGCTGGGGGTCCCACTGAAGAGCCGAACCCCTCGCAGCTGTGTCACGCAGCGGCAGAATATCGGCGAAACACGTGTCTGGGCTTTTAGCAAGTATCTATGTCGGGAGTACGGTATACTACCTTTACCATATATATATATATATATATATATATATGTTGTAGAGTAGAAGTGGTAGGCATTCCGAGACGATATAATGAAAAAGGAAGAGGTTCTTCGGAAAAATCGAGTTGTACTCGTGAATTTTCGAATTGGTGACACCAACCCGTCGTCAGACGAAATGAAGAGAAAAGAGAGAGTGAGACAGTCACACTAGACTAGTAGACGAGACAGGACAAACATTGGCGGACGAACCATTAGCGTGTGAGGAGGGATGCGGGTAGGGAGTCATGCTGGGTTCTGAGCCGGGAGGGTAGGAAGGGGGGGGAACCGTTACGGCTGCCGTGTTGGAGGGGAGGGAGAATGGTAGGTTGGCAGAACTGCGGGCGCCTGGATTAGCGGCTGCTGATGCGGCGTGCGGCTCGGCTTAGTGAGGCGTGATCTTAGGCCCTCATAATGGACGTCTAGGTCAACATGGCGGTTGATGCTATCCGCGTTAGAGTGCCATGCCTCTAGGAATTCTCTCGCCCGTTTTGTGTTGGCCGTGGCGATGACCTCGGTGTTATCCCAATTAAAACGGTGGTCGCACTGGAGTGCGTGTGCAAAGACGAGGGACAATGGATCACGGCGACGGACACCTAGTTTGTGTTCATTAATACGAGTTCCCAGGCGTCGTCCTGTATGACCAACATATACGCAGGGACAATTGGCACACGGGATGCGATAAATGACGTTAGTCTGTTCCTCTTTGGGGATAGGATCCTTTACTCGAGCATGACTCCCTACCCGCATCCCTCCTCACACGCCAATGGTTCGTCCGCCAATGTTTGTCCTGTCTCGTCTATTAGTCTAGTGTGACTGTCTCACTCTCTCTTTTCTCTTCATTTCGTCTGACGACGGGTTGGTGTCACCAATTCGAAAATTCACGAGTACAACTCGATTTTTCCGAAGAACCTCTTCCTTTTTCAATATATATATATATATATTAACTCCAAACTTTAAAAAGCAATCGTTTCCAGCAAAGCGACACCGCTAATGTAGCCTGTAGTCAATTATGTTTGTTTGCAAGAGCAGTGGTAACAAATATAAAATCACATAGGTTACTGGTAATATTTTGTTGGGTAGTTAAATAGGAGCTTAAAAAACCTACATGTGACGCTTTGGGAATAAACTGGAGATGTCGTGGTCACGAATACTGCAAACCACGTTGAGCAATCCCTCCTTCGCTACCACTAACTTATTAACAGTCCATTTCCCTTATCCTGCGCAGAATTTAACCACAATATTCCCTGATCGCCTAGGTTGACTCGAACTTGTCACCGGTAATTGATGGGAGAACAAAAATGGAGGGGAGAATATCCCTGGGGAACCTCCCTTTACGCCAATCCAGCAGTCATTCTCCACAACACAGAAATATATTGGCCGTTAAGCCAATACTAAGCGCTAAATTCGGGACTTCGAAGTTCATTACTTGACAGGATACTTTAGCTTTCTCCGCACTGAGGGCTGAAATGCAATGGATAATTCACAATATGGCCTTAAGATTAACACCCATGGGAGTGTAGTGACGGCTCATACAAACATAGCAAGTCCCCTTCCTCACTCTAAGATAAGTAAAGACGACCTCTCCCCCGTCAATTTGCCCCTTTTAGAACTTTTTGAAAATCAAACTACTGAATGCCCCCTTCAAAAGGCATGACAGGGTGTGAACAGGCATGGGAGATCGACGAGAAAACGCAAGCTACTTGAATAGCGCTTTCTAATGAGCATTGCTTTCGCAGGTTTCTGGAAAACTGACTTGCCAACCTCATAGCTAACAAACAATGCTGTATTCGTACCCAACCGGTCCTTTGTTGTCTGAAAGCATATCCAAAGATTACAATTAATGTTTGTGAAATTTTACTGCATGTGGTATGTCCGAATTCCCGTTGCAGAGTCATGGCGTCCAGAAAAAGTACTTCAAGCATCTTCAGAGGTGTTTGGGAAAAGTAACATGTTTTCTAATTGGATTTCGAGTTCGAACCAATAGGACCGATGCAAGTGGCCGAGATGATTCTGAACCAGAGGACAGCATACCAAAGACAGGCGAACGAGCAACAGAACAGACTTCTACATGGAAGTTCACCGGAAATATTCACATGCACTTCGAGGCCCAGTGTGGGAAGTTGTGCCCGGATGACCTT